CGCCGCCCTCCGAGAGGGCCTGCTCCTCCTCGCTCCCCCCCCCCCCCTCGCTGCGTGTGCAGAGTGGGAGCCTTTAGCCTCGCCCTTTCCTTGCACACCGAACCCTCACCCGCCGCCCTGACAGCCGAGCTCGCCCCCCCCCCCCTCGCTGTGTGTGTGCAGCGCCAGAGCCTCAGTTTTTTGTCCCTTCACCCCGCCCCTGTCTTGCGCACCCGGCCCTCGCCCGCCGCCCTGACAGCCGAGGGGGCAGTCTGCAGCGCCCTGCAGGGCGCGGGGCGGCTCGGCCCGCGGGCCGAGCCCTGGCTTCGGATGCGGCGGTTTCTGTTCGGGGGGGGGGGGGGCGCGGGAGCGCCCCCCGCGGGGCTGAAAGGGCTCCCCGGGACTGCGGAGCGCGAGCCGTCGTCCTGGCTTGCTCAGGGCCCGTCCCTCTACAGGGGGGAAGCTTCAGACATGGTCACAAGATAGTCAAAAGATAGTCAAAAAGTAGTCCAACGACAGTCAAAAAGAGTAAACAAATAGTCTGAGGACTATTTTCCCACAATGTTCTTTTATTTGGGAATCTTGTTGGGGCAAGTTGTTTTGCCCAGGATCCCCCTGTAGGGGGACAGGCCCGACTGAATCCTGGCTTGCTGGGGGTTGAGGCTTTGAGATTGCGAGGCATTCTAGTTATGTGAAATGGGTTGCGGCTTCAGGAGCGCGAGCGCGTCTCATTCTACTGGGGTTTGTGGAAAATGGTCAGGAGGGAAAAAACGCACAGGCACAATTCATCGTCGATTCCGCAGAGAACATGGGAAAATATGGGGAGTTGGGGGGAAGACGAACATTCCCCCAAAATTTGAAATTATGGGGAATCCCGTGATTTGTGTTTTTATGTGTGTGTGCCCCTGGGTCCCTTGATAGTTATGTGAAATGGGTTGCGGCTTCAGGAGCGCGAGCGCGTCTCATTCTACTGGGGTTTGTGGCCAACGGGAGCGCGAATCTCTTGTAACTCGCGAGGGCGTAATGTCTTCGGAGCGTGAGCGCGAAGTAGTAGTCTAGAAGGGACTGGCTTCGTGAGCCCGAGCGCGCGGCAAGTTACGAGAGCTTGTTGCTCCGGGAGCTCGAACGCGGAGTAACCTTCGATGGACTGTGGTCTCTGGACAGCGACTGCGCAGCGATTTACAATACAGTGGAGCCCATGCCAAGAAGCACCCTGCTTGCCTCCAGGGTGCCCTGGGTTTCTTGGCCTTCGATGGTTTTACTATGGAGAGCGTGGTGTTCCCACAGAACAAATCCATGGACATCCGGGGGGCTCAGGGCTGGGTTTCTCGTGGAAGGTTTCTTGTTGACTGGCCTCCTCTGTATGCTGTGGCATCGGGAGCGCGAGCCTGTCGCAGTGTGGGAGGAGTTGCGGCCTCGGGCGTGCACGTCCGGTGCTATGATTTACGAGGGACTTTGGCCTCCTGGGGTGCGAGCGTGATGTAATGTACAGGGGATTTGTGGCCTCGGGGACGCGAGCGCGCAGAGACTCCCTACGGAGTACGGCCTCGGGTCGCGAAGCTGATGCAAGTTATGAGGGGTTCTGGCCTCGCTAGCGCACGCGTTATAATGTGCGAGAGATTGATGCCTCGGCAGCAGGAGTCCGTCTTAATTTTCAAGGCACTGTGGCATCAGGAGCGCGATTAACCGCTTACCCCTGATATTGAACCCCTGGGGATCATAAATTTCGTGGTGTTGGAGGGGGGATTTTCCCGGCGGAGGATGATTGTGGTCATGATGATGATGATGATGATGATGATGATGATGGTGATGGTGATGGTGATGGTGATGGTGATGGTGATGATGATGATGATGATGATGATGATGATGATGATGATGATGATGATGATCCTGTGCGCTCTTGCAACTAGATCTTCGCACAAAGCTGTCTTTGGTGTCCTCGAGTCTCGCGATTAAAGGTAGCCTGCGCAGGAGATGTCCTTGGCGCCCCTTGCCAAGAAACCTCTCTTACGTACCACTGCGAGCCATTCGCCCATACAGGCTCGGCACCCTTTGGTGCCGTCCTTGCACGTAGTAGTAGCAGTAGTAGCAGTAGTAGTAGTAGTAGTAGTAGTAGTAGTAGTAGTAGTAGTAGTAGTAGTAGTAGTAGTAGTCGATGTAGTCGTAGTAGTCGTAGTCGTCGTAGTCGTAGTCGTAGTCGTAGTCGTAGTCGTAGTAGTAGTAGTAGTAGTAGTAGTAGTAGTAGTAGTAGTAGTAGTAGTAGTAGTAGTAGTAGTAGTAGTAGTAGTAGTAGTAGTTGTAGTAGTAGTAAGTAGTAGTAGTAGTAGTAGTAGTAGTATAGTAGTAGTAGTAGTAGTAGTAGTAGTAGTAGGTTAGTAGTATAGTAGTAGTAGTAGTAGTAGTAGTAGTAGTAGTAGTAGTAGTAGTAGTAGTAGTAGTAGTAGTAGTAGTAAGTAGTAGTAGTAGTAGTAGTAGTAGTAGTAGTAGTAGTAGTAGTAGTAGTAGTAGTAGTAGTAGTAGTAGTAGTAGTAGTAGTAGTTAGTAGTAGTAGTAGTAGTAGTAGTAGTAGTAGTAGTAGTAGTAGTAGTAGTAGTAGTAGTAGTAGTAGTAGTTGAAGTAGTAGCAGTAGTCTGAGAAGTAGTGGTGGTAGTCGTAGTAGTAGTCGTAGTAGTAGTAGTAGTAGTAGTAGTAGTAGTAGTAGTAGTAGTAGTAGTAGTAGTAGTAGTAGTAGTAGTAGTAGTAGTAGTAGTAGTAGTAGTAGTAGTAGTAGTAGTAGTAGTAGTAGTAGTAGTAGTAGTAGTAGTAGTAGGAGTAGTAGTAGTGTAGTAGTAGTAGTAGTAGTAGTAGTAAGTAGTAGTAGTAGTAGTAGTGTAGTAGTAGTAGTAGTAGTAGTAGTAGTAGTAGTAGTAGTAGTAGTAGTAGTAGTATAGTAGTAGTAGCAGTAGTAGTAGTAGTAGTAGTAATCGTAGTTGTAGTAGTAGCAGTAGTAGTAGTAGTAGAAGAAAAACGGTAGGAGAAGGAAGAGAGCGGAGGGAGGCCCCAAGACTGTTTTCCCATGTATTTTATCTTGGACCTTGGGTTGTTTATTTTTAACACCGAATTCTTTTGAGTCGTTTTCAATCCCACGGGTGGAGGAAGGAGTCCATGGTCGGCAGGTGGCGGAAAGTTCGGAGGTCTGGGGGGAGGACGAGGGGAGGAGGACGAGCAGGAGGAGGAAGAGGAGGAAGAAGACACGGGGAGATCCTTGTCCGCTTTCTCAGCCTCTTGGCCTCGAGGGCTCTCGTAGAAGCTCGCAGCAGTCAACATAAGAAGATAGCAACTTCGATTCGCAACTTACCCCCGCGATAATCAAGTTCAGCCTCGCCTGCCCTCTCCACAATCAAGTCTGTCTGACCCGGGGATGATGACCACTCAGGGGTTAAGGGAGGGGGTACTCTTTAATATCCCGGGGAAACGGTTACGTAGTGATTCAATGAGGTCGTAGTTTCGCGACCGCGAACCGGTTCTATTTGCATGTGTCCCAGATCCCCCATCAATTTTGATATTTGGTTGGTTTTCGTGTTGGGATCCTCGGGCGTTCTTCAATCACCCCCGCGTTCGAACTAGAGCTTTTGCAATTATAACATCAGAAACCTTCGCAGTGGAACTGGTGCGGGGCACATGGACCCTTCGTCTCGCAGCCTGTTTGCCCCAAATGGGGCTGGCGGATCATATGCGGCATGCCAGAAAGTTGGGGCGTGCCAGGTTTTTGTTGGCCATGTTGTTACTTGCCTTGCTACGTGCTGCCATGCTGCGATACCCTAAGCAGCGCGATGCAAGTCCACGCAGTGCCATGATCTGCTGGGCGAAGTTGTGTTGTGCCTTCGTGTGTGTATACGTATACATACACATATATATATATATATATATATATATATATGTATGTGTGTCAATGTGGTACGCGCATGGCATCGCATTGCATATGCAGCAATCCCAAAATCGGTCGGATCGGGTTTACGTTCCCTGGTGCGGCGAAGGTGAGTTCTCGTGGTTCTGGCTCCTGGGTTTAGGCTCTTGGGCCCCGAGGCGCTACTCAAGGCTATAACGGGCTTTCTTACGCCGCGTTGCAACATTCACTGCTAGTGTGTGCGTCGTTTCGCTGCTACAAGCGATGCGATGCCATGCTCTGTCCACTGTTACAGGTGTTGCAGTATTTCCTAACAGATAGAGGGTTTTTCTTTCTGCCCGTTTCTGTCACAATCGCTGTCATCGCCGCCGCCGTCGTCGTGGCCCTCTTCTTCGCCGTGTTCGTGTTTTCAGGATGGCGTGCTCTGGCCAGCGTTTTCCTACTTGCCCCGAAGCTCTCCAGAAGGTCCTTCGAAGCTCTCTTGAAGCTTCTTGGAAGCTTGCTCCTATGAGCCCGCAAGCTCCCCAGGCATGCTTTCCAGCGACCTGGCGAGCGTCTCCCACGAGGGTTGTCTCCAAGTTTGCCAGCTCCCGAGACAGGCTTTTTTAGCGCCCCAGCCAGCGCCCCCTTATGTGCGTTTATATGTAGACTGCGTTGCTATTCGGGTTCTTGACTACACCAGTTGCGTCGATATGCAGGTTTTTCCCGGATGTACCCCCTCGGGCAAGCACGCATTTCGTGGGGCACCCCCCTTCCACGCGGCCTTACGATAGGCAGGCTCTCTTCTTGCCCCCCGAAGCGGCCAGGGCGCTTCCCTGGAAAATTCTGGCGCCTGCCGGGGCGGCGCGGTGCCCCTGCCGCTCCCCCACCGTGGTCTTCGAGAATGTGAAGCCCGAGGGCCTTAGAACCTAACGAGTTGCTCTTCCCGCCGCCGCCGTCGCCGTCGCCAGCGCCGTTGCCGTTGCTGTCGCCGTCGTCGCAGTCGTGGTCGTCGTCAGCGACGCTGTTCGTCGTCGTTGTCGTGGTCGTGGCGTCGCAGTCGCCGTCGCCGTTGCCAGGAGCTCCGTGGCGGTCGTCGTTGCCCTTGTCGTAGCCTCCTCATGTTCCTCCTCCTCCTCTCCTGCTTCTCTTGTCCCTCGCCCCCCTGCGTAGCCGTTGTTGTGGCTCAAGACAGATTTTGGAAATCGGACTCCGAAGCGCTTCCGCCCAGGCCTGCGCGGAGCTCTGGCAGGGACACCCGGCTCAAGAGAACTAGGGAACTTTTTACGATCCCTCGAAACTGGCATCGTCAAAACGGAACTCAGAGGGAGCGTTTCCGTGGATGCCGGCGCCGATTGCGGATGAATCCGAGGGCATGGCTGATTCGTTCGGCGTGGTCCTCATCCTAACTGCTGCCCTGGTGTGCACGTTCGCGTGCACCATGCAGCACAAATTTCAGGAGTGCGTTGAGATCGTCGGAAACCCGGCGCAGATCACCTCGCCAGGTACTCTGTTCTGGCTGCGGATTCTGTCCGGGCGCATGCGCTCGCGCTGGTTCGGTGCCCTCACCGAAGTCTGGCTGCCCGTGGGGCTTCGCGCCCCACTGTTCCGGCTCTTCGCCTGGACGTACGGCGTGCACCTGGAGGAGGTCAAACACCCCTTGGATTCATTCCGGACGCTTAACGATTTCTTTTGCCGGGTTTTGAAAGACGGCGCCCGGCCTATCAGCGACATACCGGCTGGGTTGGTGAGCCCCGTGGATGGGCGCGTTCTCGCTGCCGGCGTCATCGAGCATGCAGACGCGAGGGTAGAGCAGGTCAAGGGCGCCACGTATTCGGTCCCAGCCTTCTTGGGGCTCGACCCGTTCGAGTGCAAGGCCGAGAAGTCCGTTCTCCGGTATGTGGTGCTGTATCTCGCCCCGGGAGATTACCACAGGATCCACGCTCCGTGCAGGGCCACCTTCTCGCAGGGCAGGCACTTCTGCGGAGAGCTGTTCCCTCTGAAGCAGTGCATCCTCAAGAATGTCAACGACATTTTCGCGGTGAACGAGCGAGTCGTGCTCTCTGGTGAGTGGGCCTTCGGACAGATGCACCTCGTTGCGGTAGGCGCCATGAATGTTGGCAACATCTACCTGGATTCCTCTCGCTTCGCGGGGTGCACGTCCCGACCGCGTACAGTCCAGTCGTTGTGAGACTCCTGGGAGCCTAGTATGGGCGTCTTGTGGCCACTTGTGGGGGGCTGTTTGAAGGCGTCTGGCCCCCTCTGAGGCCGTCTTTGGGGCCTTTCGGGGCCGCCTTTGGGGCTCTCTCGGGGTCTTCCTGGGCCGTCTTGCTGGCCTCTTTACCCGTTTTGGTGGCCCCTGTGGGCTACGGTCGGACCGAGGTATAAGATTGAGGTCGGTTCGGGGCAGATAGTCTAATGCTCTTCGTGCTTGTTGCATGTTCTAGTACATCCTTGGGGAGGGTGCCCTTGTATGTTCTGTGTCTTTTGGCCGGCGGAGGGTCTCATTGTCTTGGAGGATGTTATTTTGTCCCAGGTCCGACTGTATCTCAGGGCGCTCTTGGGCCGTCTTGGGGCCCTTCTGGAGGCTGCCTGGGCGGTTGGCAACATTTGCCTCGCTCCACTGGCGCGCGCCGTGCGTCCGGGTTGAAGCCCCCCAGAACCGTTCTCAAAACAGGCCCTGTTGGGTAGTTGTTCGGCGGCGAGCGAGGTGGGGAAGTGAGAAGGAGAAAATCTTCTCAGAAGGCGGCGGGACTTCTCAGAAGCGCTCGCGCTTCTGAGACGTTTTCTGTGTCTTCGGGGAAAGCTTAGAAAGCTGCTTAGAAGGCCGGGAGGACTTCGAGCCTTCTGAGAAGGCCCGCCCCTTCTCGCTTCCCCCCCAGGCTTGCCGCCGAGGGTAGTTTGGTCGCCCTTTTGGGCGACGTCGACGACGACGACGACGACGACTACAGCGACTACAGCGACTACAGTGACCACTGCGACTACAGCGTAGCTAGAGCGAGGGCGAAACGAGGACGAGCACGAGGACGGCGACGACGACACCAATTGCCACATCGCCTACCAGTTGCCTCTTCGGTCTCTCTTGCATACATGTTGGCAGTCTTGGGGGGGCCTTGGGGCCATCAGGGGGCCCTCTTGGGTTGTTTTGGTTCCCTCTCGGGCGCCTTCCGGGCGGTCTTGTGGTGATCTTCCGGGCCTCATTGGCCTGACTTGAAAACCCTGAAGAACAAACAGGCGATCATGCAAACGTGCACGGACACCATCAGAAACACGCACAGAGATGACGTCTGCCTCTCGACGCCTTCCTTTGGGTCCTCCCTGGGGCTCTCTTTGGCCATCTTGGGGCACCTGGGGCTGTGTTGGGCCTATCCTTCGGGCGTTGCTGGCAGTGTCCCGGGCCCACGGATGCCCCGCGGCCTCGCACGGCCTCCAGAGCGCCCCATCGCGTGGTCCAGCGGGCTTCGGGGGCTCCAGCATGGGTCGGGGGCGGACAGAGCCCCCAACCAGTGACGCGTCGATTAGTGCATTGTCCGTTTTCGGTTCTCGAGAGGGCGCCGTGGCCGTTATTTTCCAGGCTTGCGCCCGCCAGGTTTGGGCCTCGGGTCGTTTTCACTAAACCAAGTGTTACCAAAGGGGGGTCTGTCCATCCCCGATTCAGGGGCTCCAACATGGGGCGACGATCTGGGGGCACCTTGGGCCAGGGGCACATGTCAGCGACGCCCGAAGCTTGGGCTGCCCCAGAGGACCTGTGGGCCGTCATGGATGGGGCAACGAGCGAGTGGGGAGGGGGGTGAGGACGAGCAAGGCCTTCTCAGAAGGCGGCGGGACTTCTCGGGAGCCCTCGCTCCTTCTGAGACGGTTTCTGTGCCTCTGGAGAGGGCTTAGAGAGCTGCTCAGAAGGCCGAAGGGACTTCCGAGCATTCTGAGAAGGCCCACCCCTTCTTTTGGCATCGCTCGGACGTGTGCATGTTTTCTTTCGGCGAGGACCATCGAGGTGCATCCTTGATCAAGTGGCGAAACAACGACGCACGACACCGAAAAAAAAACACAGGGAATGGACGTCCGAGCGATGGCCAGTCCTCACTTCCCACTGAAGCTCTCTTTGGCGAGTCTGGCGCTGCGGGGCGCTGCCCTGGGCCAGGCGAGTCCCGCCAGCGCCCCTGGCGCCCTCTCGAGATCGGCCGGCTGGGGCCCCCCTGGGGGAGCAGGTTGGGGGAGGCACCAGGCAGCTCGGAGGCGGGTTGTCTCAGAGCGTGAATTGCCTGCCCCGCGTTCGCTTCCAGGCAAAACCAAGTCATACCACGCGCCTCCTCGTCAAGCGGCCTGACCAGTACAGGCCGTAGTTTGGCATCGCTTGGTATCTCTTGGAAGCGAGGGTGGTCAAAAGCGAGGTAGGTCTGTTTGCCCCCTATTGTCGCCCCCCAGCCCCGAGCTCCGCCCGAACCGTTGGGCCGCTCTGGAGAGGGGCGGCGGACTCTGGGCCACAACCCCCAGGGGGGCTATTCGGGCGCCCCCTCATCGGGGATGGACGCTCCCCACGGTGCATCCCCAGGGTCGGGCCCTGAAGCTTTGGTCCAGTCGAGCCCCCCCCCCAACAAGTCGGGGATCGGGGTCGCCACATCTCACGTTACTTTCTCAGGCGACGCGGAGAACCCGAGGGTTCGTCTGATTTTGACGAGAAGCTCAAGACGAACAGGCTCCGGGACATCGCAGTGCACTGTGGCGGCGACGTGTCACAGAAGTTGTATGAGGGAGTGGCATTCGAGCCTGGTGGCAACGTTGGTGGCTTCCGCTTGGGCTCCACAGTGGTCCTCGTCTTTGACGCGCCCGAGTGCTTCCAGTTGAAGGTCAACCTCGGCGACAGCGTGAGAGTCGGTGAGCCACTGGGTGAAGTGACGCAGTGAACTCTTGCAGGCACAGTCTGTTGCACAATGTATCAGCTTGAACTACCCCCCTTCGCGATGGGGTCTCTAAGAGAGCGATTCGCGTTTTCGCCCCATGTAGGTTTGGCCTCGTAGCCCAGTTCCTCTTATTCCCCCTCATCTGCAGACATTCGATTGGTTTTTTGTCAAGTACGGGGTCCCTGAACCACTCGTGATGGGCCTGTTTTCCACCACCGCCATAGGTTGGAGGGGGAAGGTGGAGGATGAGGAGGAGAAGGAAGAGGAGGAGGAGGAGGAGGAGGAGGAGGAGGAGGAGGAGGAGAAGGACCCCCTTCCCCTCCTACTGATGGTGGTGGTTGTGGAACACAAGCCTACCAACTCGACCCCCTTCCCCAGGGCCAGTTGTTCATTCTTGACGGTTCTTTGACTGTCCGTCGGCCGCGCGCAGAGGGGGGCAGAGGGGGAGAGGGGAAGGCCCCTTGGAGGCGCCCCTGTCTCGGCAGCCCTTGTCGTCGCCCGTCGATTTGAGAGCTCGCGCCTGCTAGAGAAAGCAGCCTCCTTCCATAGAGTAGGGGATCGACAGCACGATTGATCTGCCCCCGAAAAGATTGCCCCCATCGAATCTACGCCGTACGGGCAGAATTTTTGCAAATCTGCGGGGGGGTCTATGTATGCTCCCTAGATTCGACGAGAAAATGAATCTCAGGGTGTTTCGATTCGGCAGTCGATCCCTTACTCGATTTTGGGAATGCTTCCCTCTTCCTTCTGCCCCCACTGTGCGCGCCGCCGAGTCCTGGTGCCCGAGACCGTGCCACCGGAGGACGGATGCCGCGAGGTCGTAGGTCTGGTCCCCGCCTCGATCCTCCTCGGGCTGCGCCGTGCACGGACGTCTCGCCGGCAGGGCGCGAATTTTGTTTGTGTTGTTTCGGGCGGTTGCTGTGCCTCCTCTCTGCACGCCAAAAATGGGTACTGAAAGAAGGGGTACGATGCCCAACAGCAGTTCCTGCTCATTTTGAACAAGGCTCGCTGTCCGCGCCGCCGCGGCCTGTGTCCATTCTGGAGGGGAGGCCGCCTGCCCAACAGCGGCCGCTGTTGGTTTGGGACAACCTTTGTTGTTGGGCATTGTACCCATTCTTTCGGTACCCATTTCGGGTCATTTCGGGTGTCCAAATCCTCTCGAAGGCATAAGCGTGTCATGTACATCAACGTTCGGAGCTCCGCGCGGATTTCCTGGATCGGCGCTGGGCCCCCCTGGCGTCGCCTCCGGCGCCGCCCCTGGCGCGCTCCGCGCGCCAGGGAGGGGGGGGGGGGTCAGCGCTGATACAAGGAATCCGCGCGGAGCGCCAAAAGTTTCTGTTGATGCAGTTTTGTCTTCTAGGTTGGCTGCTCTGTCTCCCCGGGTACAGTCAGAACCGATGGTAAGGATGGTTAACCCTCCCAAGGGCACCCTTGCATCCGTGCCTCTTTCGGGGCCATCTTTGTTTACTTTCGATAGCCGCCCGCACTCGAGAAAACTGCAACCCCGGCGACCAAAGGGCTTGCATCCTTATCGCCTTCCTGGACTGATTATCAGTTTTGACTGTACACAGTGCTGCGTCATCTCTTATAGTGGACCTTGCGTCAGCCACGTCAGGCCCGTATCTGAACATGTGTGGCACAGCTTGCCTGGCGCACGCGTATTTCTAAATACTCTTTGTGCGCTTCTCGATTGTGCCCCGTGCTGAAA